CCCGAAAATAGGCATCGCGCACAGTGCGCACCTTGCACTGGTAGCGCGTCCCCATGCGCTGCGCGCACGGCGCACCTCGTGCGTGTGCGCGCGGTGTCACCGCGCGCATGCCGCACGGCGCAGCGCACCGCATCGCGCACCGCACTAATGCGCCGCAAGTATGGTATACACACATCACGGTTGCGTCTTCGTCTTCTTCTTCTTCTTCTTCTTCTTCTTCTTCTTCTTCCTATTATTATTATTATTATTATTATTATTATTATTATTATTATTATTATTATTATTATTCGTGAATCTGTGATCAGCGCACTTCATCTATGTGCCGCAAGTATGGTATTGATGTTATTTCTCGATACAGTGCAACCGCTTTTCTCTCCTCCCTCTCATTCTCTCATTTCTCCCACATGTTATATACAAGTGAATTTTGTTGCAAATATTGTAGAAAACTTTTCCATTCATTCAAAGACAAGCACCGCAGATATTATACCCCATCCAGTGCCGTCAAGAACACATCTTCTCTATCGCAAGATATTCTTTATCAGTTTCACCCTCCTCATCTGCCAAACAACACACATCCCTTCAGAATGCTTGTCTTATCCTGTTCAACTGGATTTTTGCCGCCTAGCATAGATCCCTGCAATTATTGCAATCAGACTCTACTTCTTCTCACTTGTCATGCATGCAAACAGCAAAACAGCAAACTGGCGACATGCGCCCACACAGTACTCAAGATATCGTAACCAGGTAGGAGTTCTCTTCAACTGGCTATGGCGACTGAGCGTCCACACAACTCACTGTTCGCACTCTGGATCACCCTGGATGCCCCACACGCAACACTCTACTCTCATACGCAACACACACACACACCTGTCTCTTATACACATCTAGATGTGTATAAGAGACAGGCGGTACCCAGTCCCAGTCTCACTTAGTCCAGTCAGCAAGTACCATGTGGGACTGTGTGCACCAAGGGCCCAGGGGAAAGGGGGCAGACCAGCGACCAACAGAAGTATAAATCAAGAGGCAG